AGTCATAGATTAAAGGAGTAAAGAAAAATAAGCCACGTGAAAATGAAAAATTCACAGAGTCTGATTATGTATACTGTTGTGTTTATTTGAACTTTTTGACTATGCAAAAGCTAAGTACAGAGAGGCATTTCATTGTACGTATTGCTAAACAAACATATGCTTTAAAGGTTTCTTGACTATAAAATTTGAACCTAAGAATATGTAGCTTTAGAAAAGAGGTTCTTCTTCTGATTCCACAGAGGATAAGAACCTGTAGATTGCTTCCAGACTAATATTGTTTGATAGATCAAATCCCCCTGAAAGGTTGGCATGAACCCCTCCCAAAAAAAAATTACTTCACCCAACTGCTGACTGAGATGAACCTAACACACAGGATACACCATGAAAAACCTGAATAACAGTACCCCAATCAGCAGGAAGTAGTCTGAACTGCTGGGTATCCAGGAAACAAACAAGCAGCCTCCTTACAAAATACAATTTAGTGTTAGGAGAGTAGACCATGAAGTTAGGAGTAAAAGTCAGTCTTACTACTCAAAGTCAAATGGATCAAGGTGTATAAATATGCAAGTGAGTGAGGGAAGGTCACCATAGCAACAGTGGAAACCTCCCAGAGTCACAACAGGAAGAGGGCAAGCAGAATTGATTCCCTCCTTAGCACTCACTGGGGCTGAGATCAGGACATAAGAAAATATCCCAACACGTGGTGCTGAACCGGCGCGAGTCTCCAAGGTCTGAAGTTTGCCTGAAAGACGTCAGCCCTCAAAGCCATCTTCCAGTACATCGACGACAATCAGGACAGCTATGTCAAGAAACTTGCAGAATGGGTGGCCATCCAGAGCGTGTCCGCCTGGCCATAGAAGAGAGGGGAGATCAGAAGGATGATGGAGGTGGCCGCCGCGGATATCCAGATGCTGGGGGGCTCCATAGAGCTGGTGGATATCGGAAAGCAGAAGCTCCCCAGATGGCTCAGAGATACCCCTTCCTCCCGTTCTGTTGGGTAAGCTGGGCAGCGATCCCCAGAAGAAAACGGTGTGCATTTATGGGCACCTGGATGTGCAGCCTGCGGCCCTGGAGGATGGCTGGGTCAGTGAGCCCTTCACCTTGGTGGAACGGAAAGGCAAGCTGTATGGGAGAGGCTCCACGGATGATAAGGGGCCAGTGGCTGGCTGGATGAATGCCCTGGAAGCCTATCAGAAGACTGGCCAGGAAATTCTGGTCAACCTGCAGTTCTGCCTGGAAGGCATGGAGGAGTCTGGCTCTGAAGGCCTGGATGAGTTACTTTTTGCCCAGAAAGATAAGTTCTTCAAAGACGTGGACTACTTCTGCATTTCTGACAACTACTGGCTGGGGAAGAATAAGCCGCCGTGCATCACCTACGGCCTCAGAGGCATTTGCTACTTCTTCATTGAGGTGGAATACAGTGACAAAGACCTCCATTTTGGGGTATATGGTGGCTCAGTGCACAAGGACTTGACGGATCTCATTTCACTGATGGGATGCCTGGTAGACAAGAAGGGGGAAATCCTCATCTCTGGCATCAACGAAGCCGTGGCTCCTGTGACAGATGATGAGTGTGAGCTCTATGACCACATTGACTTCGACATGGAAGAGTTTGCCAAGGATGTTGGGGCTGTGACCCTTCTGCACAGCTGCAAGAAAGACATCCTGATGCACAGATGGCGGTACCCGTCCCTGTCCCTCCATGGAATCGAAGGGGCCTTCTCTGGTTCAGGGGCCAAGACTGTGATACCCAGAAAGGTGGTCAGCAAGTTCTCCATCAGGCTCGTGCCGGACATGGTGCCTGAGGCCGTCAACGAGCAGGTTTCAAGCTACTTGTCCAAAAAGTTTGCTGAACTGCAGAGCCCCAACAAATTCAAGGTGTACATGGGCCATGGTGGGAAGCCCTGGGTATCTGACTTCAACCATCCCCATTACCAGGCTGGTAGAAGAGCCCTGAAAACAATGTTTGGCGTTGAACCTGACTTGACGAGGGAAGGAGGCAGTATTCCTGTGACCCTGACCTTTTAGGAGGCCACAGGCAAAAATGTCACGCTGTTGCCCGTGGGGTCAGCAGATGATGGGGCCCACTCCTAGAATGAAAAGCTCAACAGGCACAACTACATAGAAGGGACCAAGATGCTGGCAGCTTACCTGTATGAGGTGTCTCAGCTGAAGAACTGAGAAGTCTCGTTTTCTACAGAGTGCTTCCTGCCCAGGAATGATCTGCCCTTTGCCCCCTCTTCCTTCCAGCTTTCTTTGAAAAGCGGAAGTTTCTTTTCTCTGTCTCTCGGGTTACAGGCAGACTTGCAGGAATGAAGACCATGCCTCCAGTTGTCACCATGGTAGAGTCAGCTGTGTCAGACTGATGGAGGTGGGTCTTGTATCTTATCTGTTGATTTCATTGGTTAATAATAAAGAAACTGCCTCGGCCCTCATAGGACAGAAAATTAGGTAGGCAGAGTAGACAGAGGAGAATGCTGGGAAAAAGAAGCTGAGTGAGTGAGTCGCCATGATGCTCCCACGCCAGACAGATGCAGGTTAAGATC